CATGTTTGGTAATGTGGAGCATCAGAGAAAAAGAGGAAGACCCCCAGCGAGATGGATTGGCAAAGTGGCAGCATCAATGGGTTCAAGCATGGCAACAATTGTGAGATTGGTCCTGGACCGGGCAGTGTTTCGTTCTTTTGTGTATAGGGTCGCTATGAGTCGGCACCAATTTGATAGCACCTAACAACAACAACAGGGTCCTGGTGCGGCACTGTGGGCTAATGCATCAGACTGCAAAGTTGTTTGAACTGCAAGATCGGTGGGTGGTTCAAGCTCACCAGCTGCTCCTTGGAAACCCTATACAGGGTGACTATGGGTCAGAATTGACTCAAGAGCACTTAACAACAACAACATTACATTTCATTCTTATTTCAGTGTGTTAGTTATTTAATGCTTCTATAGCAGAAATACCACAGCTGGATGACTTCAACAAATGGAAATTTATTCTCTCACAGTTTAGGAGGCTACAAGTTCAAGTTCAGAGTGTTGACTTTAGAGGAAGGCTTCATCTTTGTCAGCTCTAAGGGAAGGTCCTTGATTAGTGTCAGCATCTACAGGCCCAGCATTCCTTGGAGAATTCCAGAGTCTTCTCTCAGCATCAACCTTCCCCTGGATCTGGAAGCATCATAATGCAGGGACACCAGGACCAAAGGATGGACACTCCTGGTCTTGGTGGTAGTAGGTCCCTCTTTATCTACTCAAGTCTCTCTCTCTTTTGCCTCTTGTTATGTGAAAGACGTTGCATGCCACACCCTTGGGAATCTCACTGACATCAGATCATGGTAGTGGTGAGATTAAGGGTAGTGGAGTCCTGGTGTGGCGCTGTGGGCTAATGCATCAGACTGCAAAGTTGTTTCAACTACAAGGTCTGTGGGTTCAAGCTCACCAGTTGCTCCTTGGAAACCCTATACAGGGTTGCTACAGGTTGGAATCAACTCAATGGCATTTAACAACAACAACATTCCACTCTTGTGTGAGTCGTGGTGTGGTACTATAGCACTATAGAATAAGCACTGGACTATTACCTTCAAGGTCTTAAGTTCAAACCCACCAGTTGCTCCTCGGAAACCCAATACAGGGTGTCTATGAGTCAGTCTCAGTGGCACTTAACAGCAACATGTTCCATCCTTAATCTTTTTATAGGTTTATCACATCAGATCACAACAAGGAGGATCATCACATAACTGCCAGACCCCTGAGAATCATGGTCCAGTCCAGCTGACACATATTTTTGTTGTTGTTGTTAAGTGCCATCAAGTCGATTCTGACTCATAGTGACCCTGTATTATGTTTCTGAGGAGTAGCTTGGTGGGTTTGAACCACCAACCTTGTAGTTCAAATTGACCCTGTGGTTCAGTGCTTATTATACAGCAATCACCAGAATTCATATTTTTGTGGGACACAACACAATCCATGGAGTCCTGGTGTGGCGGGGTTAATGCACCAGACTGCAAAGCCATTTGAACTACAAGGTTGGCGGTTCAAACTCACCAGCTGCTCCTTGGAAACCCTATACAGGGTCACTATGGGTTGGAACCGACTCAACAGCACTTAACAACAACAACAACGCAATCCATAACATTCAACCCTAAAAAAGAGGCATTATTAGTATTTTAGAGAGAAGGAAATTGGGTTTAGAAAGGCTGCAAAAATTACTCAATCTGGATAAGAAGACCCCCAATTTCTAACCGAAATTTAGATATATACAGGACCAAAGTCCTGTTTGTTCCTTTCTTCTGACATATTGCTCCATTTGACCCTAAACACTCATTCTGCATGTGAGGAAACTGAGGCCCAAAGAAAGGAATTTATACACACTTGGGTCAGAAAGCAGATCAGCTTTTGCTCATCTTTTTCAGGTCAAATGTTATTATGTATACCTACATAATGTTGGCAAATCACAGATTATGCACATTATTACTATGTATGCTTTCATAATGCTTTCCACAGTATGGAAACGTAAAAACTAAATCTTCTGCCATTGAGTAGATTCGGACTCATAGAGACCCTGTTTAGGGTTTCTGCAGCTGTAAGTCTTTGTGGAAACAGCAAGCCTCAGTTTTCTCCTGTGGAGCAGCTGGCGGGTTGTATTTAGCAGTCCAGTGCTTATCCTACAGTGCCACTGGAGCACCTCTCAACACGGTTAGGCTTTGTACCATGTTTTCAAATGGCATGAGTACAATTCATTCATAATAGGAGAGTACATCAAAAAGTATTGTTACTAGTGTTCTAGTTAGAACACGGACAGGTTTATACCAAACACAACATGTTTAAACATGTCTCTGTAATCGGTGGATGGCTACAGCCAAGTTTTCTCAGCAGTACACTTGTCTTAGTCTCGTTGTTGAGTTGGTTCCAACTCATAGCATCCCTGTATAGGGTTTCTGAGGATAGTCTCATTATTGTTGTTGTTATTAGGTGCCATAAAAAAACCCAATCAGAACAGACTTCTGAGGCGATTTGCTGGGCCTGTTACATTCAAGGCACAGAAAGTTCTGGCAGCTGTTTTTGTAATTCCAGAGGCGTCATTTTGACAGATTTTCTTGAAGAACACAGTACCATCACAGAGGCTTACTGGGAAGTTTTAAGAAAATTGAAAACTTCATTTATGAGAAAAAGGCCAGAAAAGTCATTTTGAGAAAACTGTTTTCACCATGACAATGTTCCTGCTCATTCTCTTATGGTAGCAGGATCTGTCCTACAATATCTGTGTTGGAAAAGCTTACTCTCCCCACTATACAGCTCTGATCCTGCTGTATCTTCATACTTGGTTTATGTCCCTGAAACTCAAACAACATTTAAAAGGAGCACTCCATCAGTCCCTCAAGGATGCCCAAACTGCTGTTTTGACTGGTGTAGATCAAAGGGTACAGAAGTCTTTGGGGGCAGGGTTGTTATTGTTGTTAAGTGCCATCAAGCCAGTTCCGACTCACAGCAACACTGTATAGGGTTTCCTAGGAGTGGCTGGTGAACTTGAACTGCCAACCTTGCGGTTCAAACTAACTTTGCAGTCCAACCCATTAACCCGCAGTGCCAAATCAGGACTCCTGGGGAAGGGTTAGAGAGGTGGAGAAAACATTTCTTTCAGAGCTAGATGAAGGATATGTCGAGAAGCAATAGCTTCATATTTTGATATTTTTGCTTAATAAACATTTGCTTAATAAAAGTCTATACTTTTTGACTTACCCTGGTATAAAGTTATTGTTGCTAAAGTGCTGTCGAACTGGTCCTAATTCATAGTGACCTTGTAGAGGTTTCCAAGGTGAGGAGTAGCAGGTGGGTTTGAACAGCCAACCTTGTGGTTAGCAGTCCAGTGCTTATCCTAGGCTCCATAGTAGGACTCCTGTATAAAATTAGAAACAGAAACATACTCATATGCATATATTTCTATATATCTCTCCAAGCAGAAACTTATGTTATTATAAAGTGATTTAGAAAATTTCTAACTCTAAAACTTGCTAACTAGGAGAATGCTAAACAACCATTGTTGGTGTTGTTAGTGTCGTGTAGTCAGTTCTGATTTATAGTCTATTGGAAGAGCGACTAGTTGATTTGGGTCCCTGACTTTACAGTGGCAGTCTAGTGCTTATCCTACAGCGCCACACTAGGACACCAAACATTAGAAGCTGGTGTTACATTCATGTGCTATGATAAAGAAATTGAAACGTGTATCTATAGAAGGAATTTCTAAATCAGAAATAGAAAAATTGGCAGGATGTTGCATGATACAGAGTCTTATATAGTTGAATTCCTAAAATTTAGCCTTGGGACATATATTGTAAACAACCCCTTTACTCTCTAGAAGATGCAATATGAGGCAAATGTCTGACCCTAAGAAAAGATGGGACAGATTAAATATGACATCACTTGGCCTTTATTACCCGAGGGTGAGGTTAGAAATTTTTATGTATGTAGTGGGCTTGAACTCATTCCTGTAATAAGGCAAAGAATCTCTGCAGCTTGACTTTCTCAAGCCATGAGATTCTGCCTTCCACCGCTAACCTCGGACCCGTTACCAGGAACCTTTGTTGTTGTTTAGTGCCGTCGAGTCAGTTCTGACCCATAGCGACCCTGTACAGGGTTTTCGAGGGTGTAAATCTTTACGGGAGTAGAAAGCCTCATCTTTCTCCCGTGGAGCGGCTGGTAGTTTCGAACCGCTGACCTTAAGGTTCGCAGCCTGATTCGTAACCACTACGCTACCAGAGTTCCTTACAAGGAACCTTTATTGAGTTTGAAAAGGTGGTGTGGTCGAACCTTCCTGAGACTTCAGTAAAAGGTAAAAGCCTCAAGTCTAAAGTTTGGGACTGAACTGAGTTTATGCATGACAAACTTAAGAATTTATTGTTTAAAATGAAATCATACAGGGCAAATGTCCTTCTAGGGAGACACATGCCTTTAGGGATTTGACAATCTACACCGCTCCACAGTGATGGAGAGAGGAATAGTTGCAAACTAAGGAAAGAAGGAGGAGAAAATGAAGTCAAAGAGTAGCTGTCAGACGGTGTGAAGTGGGTGTGAGGAAGTGTGTGTCTTCTTGCTCCAAAACAAAACAGAAAGGTTTGGCCAGCTTCAGAGTTTGCGCCCTTTGCTAAATCTAGACGAGACTAAGACAGTCAAGTGAGCACTTCAGGCATTAGTAAAAAGGCGCAGCGTGAACCTAAACTCAAACCTTCCGAACAGCACTGCATTGGGAGGGCGGTTTGAAAGAGAAGTTGAGAAGGCGGCGAAGGGGCGAATTCGGCTGCACAACGCGCCCGCCACCGAGAGGCGGGGCCGTAGGCTGCCTGCGCTGCGTTTGCTCGCGGCCCACGCCGAGCCCGGAACGCCGCGGCACAGCCCAGGCCTCCGCCCGCCACGTGACCCGCCGTGTCGCGGTCCGGCCCGGCTCGCGTGGGTGGCGGGAGCTGCGGGAGGGCGGGGGCGACGAGGGGGCGGGTCACGTGACAGGGTTTAAATCTCCCGCAGCCAGAGCCGCGGGGGCGCCAGTGCCGCGAGTCGAGCGGGAGCAGAGGAGGCGAGGGAGGAGGGCCAGAGAGGCAGTTGGAAGATGGCGGACGAGGCGGCGCTCGCCCTTCAGCCCGGCAGCTCCCCCTCGGCGGCGGTGGTGGCCGAGAGGGAGGCCGCGTCGCCGCCCGCCGGAGAGCCATTCCGCAAGAGGCCGCGAAGAGACGGTCTCGGTCTCGGAAGGAGCCCGGGCGAGCCCGGCTGGGCAGCTTCCGAGCGTGAGGCGCCGGAGGCGGCCGGGGTTTGCCCGGCGGCGCCGCTGTGGCGGGAGGCAGTGGCGGCGGGCGAGGAGCCGGAGGCCCAGGCGGCGGCCGCGGCGACCGAAGAAGAAGACAATGGGCTGGGCCTGCAGGGCCTATCCAGGGAGCCGCCACCGGTCGACGACTTCGACGACGACGACGACGACGAGGAAGAGGCAGCGACTGCGGCAGCGGCGATTGGGTACCGAGGTGCGCAGGGCGCGGGCGGCCGGGACTGCGCATCTCCTCCTCCCTCCTCCGGGGCCCCTCCTGGTGTACGGTTGGGGGGGGGTCTCTGGGGCCGGGCCGGGTAGGGGGCGACGCTGCGGCCGTGTCTTGCTCCTCCTCCGCTGCGTGCCTCCCGGGTAGCAGATCCGGCTGCGGGAAGGACCCCGCGGGCCCGCTCGCTCTCTCCGCCTTCTCCCTCCTGCTCTCCTGCGGCCCGCCGGCGACCCAGCGCTTGGCGCAGTACTGGGACGGAAAGCGTCGGCAGTTGGCTTTAAAATAAGTTCGCTTTTCTTATCCCCTACCTTTTTAGCAAAATGCTTGTGCTAAAGATTTGTTGCTTTTCACCCACCTTCCCCAGCACGCCTAAGTCTGCAACTTTTGCCTGTCCCATTGATTGACCTTTGCGATTGCCTTTGCAACTTGACACCTGTTCAGTTTAAAACCCCCCCCCCCCTTTTTTTTTAGGTCTATAGTTTCTAAACTTGAAATAGACAATTTTAAAGAGCAAAGCCTTTCAAAAGATATTGCTCTGCAGTGAAGCAATTAATAGTGGGCTTAGAGAGTAATAGTACTTTTAGAGTATACTTAATGAATACTGTTCTTTCTCTAATGATCTTCCTATTTTTTAGGGTGATTGTAATCTTGAAACACAAAGTGGGATTTCTGGCGTCCTGACTCAGATGTGTTTTATATTTGTGTTTGAGTGTATTTAATGTGGGGAGTGTGTGCGTGTATGTATGCGTATGATCTGGAGAGTTTCAGTCTTAGATGAGAGTCAGTATCACTATCTTTGCTCTTAATAAGTCCAGTGGACCATTTGCTCATAGGCAGTTAATGTGCATTAGGTACTACATTAAATAAACACCCGTGATATCAAGTCACAGTTTAGTTGAGAAAACAATGCACAGTTGTTTTTTATCATATTTGAACTTTTGTACATTTCTACTTAATCGTCTTTACCGAAATTTGTTTTATTTTGATTTTCTTAAAGTAAGCTCAATTATGGACAAACTTTTAGATTCTGTGTAGCGTTCCTAAAGATGAGGATACTTTTGTGAAAGGTCCAGGCTAACCTTATAGGCATTCTTCACACATGCCATCTAGTCGATTCTGACCCACAGCGATGCTGTATAGGGGTTCCAGGAAGCAACCGGTGAGCTTGAGCCGCTGACCTTGTAGTTCAGAGGGACTTTGCAGTCCAGCACATGAACCCACAGCGCTACACCAGGACTCGCACACAATAAGTTTAATTACCTAAATGCTCCATTAAATGAGAATTATTATATTTTAGCCATTACAGGTCTTAATACATTTTAGATGATGCAGGTTGTTTCAGTACTTTTGGCTTCTATTGCAGATAACCTTCTCTTCAGTGATGAAATTATCACCAATGGCTTTCATTCCTGTGAAAGTGATGAGGATGATAGAGCCTCACATGCAAGTTCTAGTGACTGGACTCCAAGACCAAGGATAGGTATGATTTCAAAGCTCACAGCTTTAGAGACAATACTTTTTATTTTGATGTGTTTTCTTTTTATGTGAATTTTGCATTTGTTTCTCTATTCTCATAAACTGATGATGAGGTTCTTGGGAGCTTAGCCTGACTTACTGTCAGTTTTGGGACAGTTACATGGTTCTTGGATGGTACAAATGGTTTGCGCTTAGCTACTAACAGAAAAGTTGACAGTATGAATTCATCTAGTGTTTCCAAGGAAGAAAGACATAGCAGTGTGTTTCCCTGAAGGGTACAGCCAAGAAAACCCTCTGTGGCTCAGTTCATTCTGTAACACATGGGGTTGCCATGTGTTGGTATCAAACTAAGGACAGTTTGAGGAAAGTGTAGTGCTTTTGTTTTGTTTTTGTTTTTAAATGGGGCCTGTGGAAGGCTGGCATTGTTGCTGTTTCTCTTACAGCCAGGTGCTTCTCACTCTTTAGGTGCTTTGCACTTCCACCCTCTTCCTTGAATGTGCTTCCTCCAATTTTATAGAGTGTCTTGCACCCTCTTTTTTTTTTTTTTAGTTTTTACTCAGAAGGCATCTTTTTAGTGAGGCAGACTGTGGCCACATTAAACTATTTGTCGTCTTTGGCTTTTTTTTTTAAAACTGATTTGACTGAATGTTTTCCGTTTTCAACAATTAGTAAATTATTTGTTTAGTGACATTTAAATGTAGTCCTCCTCAGTGTAACAGCACTCTTTCTATTTCCTCCTTAAGTTCTTTTCCTGTCCCTTTTGCCTTTGGACTTTGTTTTTTGGCAAATGATACTTTTTTTAATCTGGTCTGGTTGATTGTTTTCATAGTTATTTTCCTCATGGGTATTGTTATACACTATGTGGTTGTTGTTAAGTGCCGTTGAGTCAGTTCTGACTCAAAGCGACACTGTACAGGGTTTCCAAAGAACAGCTGGTGAGCTTGAACTTCCAACCTGGCAGTACAAACCAACTTTGTAGTCCAGCACATTAACCCACAGTGCTACACTAGGACTCCCTCTTAGTAACTGACACATTCGAACTGCTGACCTTACGGGATGCTACCAGGGTTCCTATATAGGGGAGTTTTAGTAGGTTACAGTCAGGATCAGAAATGTTCGGGGCACACTTATTCATGTCAGGACACCCTCTCCTCCACTGTTCTCCCCAAACAGACCTTTCTCTGGCCCTTGGCCCTGCTCTAGGTATGTTACCAAGCTCTTTAAGGGCTGCTGATAATTGCCCACAGGGCACACTATTTCACCTAAGTCCTAACCTGAATCTGGTTCCCCTATTTAAATACCTAGAGACACCCCTCTCTGTAAGAAAGCCTACTGCCCAGAGTCACTCAGCTTTACTTCATGGATTGGGAACCTGTTCTCTGGCTTTGTTTCTTTTTTTTTTAAGTTTTTATTGTGACGAGTGATAGTTTACATGGGAGAACATTGGTTTTACACTCATCCTATCATATTTCATTTCATTGCTATGATTACAATCCCCTCCATGCATCATCATTCAACAGTTTTTTTTTTTTTTTTTGATGTACACAAAAAAACTTCAAGAATATATAATCATTTAAACAATCAAAGGTCACACTCTGCAAGCCTGCCTCCTGGCTGCCAGCACACAGCCTTTTTCTTTCCATGGCTCTAAAGTCCTCAGCTGCTCTCTCTCTCCATGCCATCTCTCTGGTGTCGCTGCTTCTCTGGATAGGGTCCCACATTCTGCTCATGATCTTCTCCCTTGATGGTCCCAGGGTCATCTGTTCCTGGAATGTAAGATTAACTACTCCCCCCTTTATGTTACAAAACTTCTGGCTTTACAGGTATGACGATTGCAATTAGTCATGATAACAATTACTCAGTATTGAATCATGAGAATCTTATTCCAATCTCCTTTCACCAGACCCATCTAGACAAGATGAAAACTATTCAGTGGGGATTCTACCTTCCCCCACACACTGTGAAACTGAAATCTCTCTTGAAAATTTGTAAGCTAGTCACTTTGTACTTTTATAGCCCCTCCCTCCATTTTAGATAACCAATGTCTTAAGTTGCCTGTCTCTATCAACCCTGTGTACAGAGGGGATAGGATTGATACTTGGACTCTTTCCCTCTCAGTTGGTATTTTGAGCTACTAAATCCATAGGTATAGGTGAAGTACATCAAATTGTAGCAATTTATACTTGTTTCCGTTATCAAATTTTGTTATCTTCTTCTAGTCGAGTTGTGATCATCAAGCCATTTGTTGTTGTTGTGAAGTGCCATCGAGTCGGTTCCGACCCATAGCGACCCTGTACAGGGTTTCCGAGGGTGTAAATCTTTACGGGAGTAGAAAGCCTCATCTTTCTCCCGCGGAGCGGCTGGTAGTTTCGAACTGCTGGCCTTAAGGTTCGCAGCCCGATTCGTAACCACTACGCTACTAGGTCAAATGGGTACTATCTGCTAGGTTGGGTGTTCTTGTGCATCTCCCCTCACTTTATTTATATCAGCTGATGCTTCACTCTCACCTCTAGCCCTCTGTGGCTCTGTCCTTGTCCATGGGCTCAGGAGTCTCCAGGTCTCACCATACTTCGGAACAACCAGCCCTTCCTTTTCTCTCTCTCATCTCCAGGTTGACGGGGTCTATGGAACGTGATCGAACTTAGCCCGTATTTTCATTGCTGCCTTTCCTCCACTTCTCACCAGTAGACCAGCAGGTTGTCAGCAGGCTTACATGCCTGTGACTCTTGTTTCTTGTTCCTGGGTCAAGGTGGTTCAGTGCCTAGGGATCTCCTCTCCCGGTTCTTAAACCCATGCTAGAGTACACAAGTTTTTATGTTTACAATCTGTGTTAATAATCACAACTGAATTGTATCATCCTATCAGCATCTTCTCCCACCTTGTCTTATCCAGACCTGTGAGAAAAAAGTTGTTTTGTGGGAGATACAATGACTGAGGGTAGAAGAGCTATGCACAAGCTTAGAAGAGTACCTAGCACATAATATATACTCTATTAATACTTATTTTTGAATGAAGTGGAAAAGTATTGTGAAGTACGGAGTGCTTATTTTATAATAAAGGTATAATGTAATGGGAAAAAATTAAAAGATGGTAATGTGTAGATTTATTTGTTTTACTCTTATGTTCTCAGTGATAAATAGTATAGTATAGTCTTTCCGAACTTGAAGGCAAATTACAATAATGGGATCTTTTCTATATTGATTTGTGGCACCCTTTTGTAAATACTTTTGCTTTTAATAATGGTGTATGTTTCTAAATTTTAACCAAAAAAAAATTTAATTCTGGACTCTTAAGTACGTACGTATTTGTTATTTATGGTAAAGGGGCCAGTGTAATTCTTGGTTAAGTCTCTCTGTAATCACTTGAGAAGTAGAATTCTTTTACTTCTCACCTTATTGGGATTAGGATAGCTCTGAAGATGTATTCAGAATGAAATACCTTTAAATTGCAATTTTTTAATTTGCAAAAAATTCATACAGATGACTTGTTATTTCAGAAAATAAATGAGATTTTGATTATTTGCGAGTAGATTTGATCAGAGTTGTTTTACTCTTAATACAGGTCCGTACACTTTTGTTCAACAACACCTTATGATTGGAACAGATCCTCGAACAATTCTAAAAGATTTACTACCAGAAACAATTCCTCCACCTGAATTGGATGATATGACACTGTGGCAGATTGTTATTAATATCCTTTCAGAACCACCAAAAAGGAAAAAAAGAAAAGATGTTAATACAATTGAAGATGCTGTGAAATTGCTGCAAGAATGCAAAAAAATAATAGTTCTAACTGGAGCTGGGGTATGTAAGATGTACTTAACCACTAATAAAGGATAGAGGGAGGGGTAGGGTTTTCTTAAGACTTTTCCAATTAAGAAACATTTATATGGTTTTAGAGGACTGCATCCTTCCGTGATAATTAGTATATGTGCTTGGAAACTAATGAAAAGTGAGTTAAAACTAGTTAGTAAAAGGGAGGTGGTGATTGTATATGTTCTTTCTTAAGCTTTTTGTAATTAGAAATGTTCTAGAATCTATCCTTACATGATTATGAGTGTATTTGTTGGGAAGTGGATAAAAAGTGAATGCAGAAGCAGTTGCTAAATTGGCTCAGTCTTTTTTTTAAATGTCTTCAACAAACTTAAAAAATATTTACTTCTCTTTGTTTATAGCAAGCCCAGTAGGTAAGTGGAATTAAGGCAAGACTTTTACTTGCATTATACCACAGCTCCTAAAAGAAGTGCAGGGGTTTATAATTTGCTTATGTTACGGTATGTCAAGCTCTTGTGAAGAAAGTGGATATTTGCTAGATCTTCTTGTAGAAGCCAGAAACTTAACTGGTATTCACACGCATGGGACTGAGTTTTAGTAATACAAAGCATGTTACGTGTTGTATTATGACAGTGACCAGAGCAATGTTGGTGTAAATTCAGTCCTGTTTTCTGCCATTTTGTGGGTGGACTGAGTTATTTCTTCCTGTATAGTCAGATGATCGTCAAGCATGGTGATGTCTTACTCTCAGGTATGATTTAGACAAGCTTGCTTTTTATTTTGAGGTCAAAGTGGAATCAACTCTAGCAAAATTGTGAAATAACTTCTTAAATCCATACTGAAAATGTTAAAAGTTTCTTTACATAAAAATTATAATATATAAACCTAGTCTTAAAAAATTAAGCAGTGAAATATTGTACAATACAGCTTTTAAAGAAAATAATAGAAATTCTTGAGTTAGTGAGCCCTGACCCAGATGAGGCATTTTGGAAAAACCAGACAACCTAATAGAAATTCTTGCCTGTTTTCTATTTAAAATAATTGGTTGAAATTAGTTACTTCTTTTAATTAAATTCTAGTTGCTTTAATTTCTTGGTTAAATGCTTAAAGATTTTAAATTCACCTGACTAAACTTACCTCTGTTGAAAACAGAAATAAATGGTGGATATAATTATGCTATTTTATTTGTATGTTTTATTTCTGTTTAAAATTGGTATGGGGTAATGTTTCTATTTCCCCAAAGACGTTTCTAACTCAACTTTTCTTTCCCATGTCTTCACTAAAAGTAATGGTAGTAGAGCCTAGTCATGATTTACTTGTGTGCATTATGCTGTAAATATTACAGGTATCTGTTTCCTGTGGAATACCTGACTTCAGGTCTAGAGACGGTATTTACGCACGCCTTGCAGTAGACTTCCCAGACCTCCCAGATCCTCAAGCAATGTTTGATATTGAATATTTCCAAAAGGATCCAAGACCATTCTTCAAGTTTGCAAAGGTAGTAAGAAATTTTCTAGTGTTTTGTCCTATTCTCATGCAAAGTACTTCTCATGTATCCCACCTACCAAATCCACTGCTATCAAGTAAATTCCAGCTCATAGTGACAGGATAGAATAGAGTATCACTGCTTCCTTCCTAGGGTTTCCGAGACGAAAGCTTTACAGAAGCAGACGGTCTTATCTTTCTTCTAGGAAGTGGTGGGTTTGAACCACTGACCTTGCAATTAACAACCTAGTACTTTACTCACTCTGTTATATGTATTATTATTAAGTGCTGTCAAGTCTGTTCTGATTCATAGAGACCCTATTAGGATTTCTAAGGAGAGGCTGGTGGGTTTGAATTGCTGACCTTGTGGTTCACAGTCCAGTGCTGATCCTACAGTGCCATACCATTAGTCTTGCCACATGTGTTGGCTTTTTTTTTTAAATGTTTTGGCTTCTTAAATAGTATCTTAAATTTACCATTCATTGTCTAGTAAACTGGAGACTGGTACTGTTATTGTTAGGTGCCATCGAGTGGTTACCGACTCATAATGATGCTATGCACAATGGAACAAACCACTTCCTGGTCCTGTGCCAACCTTACAATTATTGCTACATTTGATCTGATGGCTACTACTGCTGTGCTGGTTCAGGTAGTTTGGAGGTCTTTCTCTTTTTCTCTGACTCTCCACTTATCAAACCAGGGGCTGGTCCCTCCTGACAATATGTCCAAAGTGTGAGAGATGAAGTCTGGCCATCTGGCTTCCAAGGAGCACTCTGGGTATACTCTTCCAACACAGATTGGTTTTGTACTATCATGGAGTAATATCAGTGAATTAAAACCCCAGTCATTAAATTAATGTTTGCTTTTCCCCAGAAGGAAATATGATCCATTTTTCTTCATTTTATAATTGAGTTTATTTTCAAAGAGATTATATTTTTTCAAATTTGCACTTCAGTTACAAATTTTATATGATATTACTTGGGCTTTTTAAAAGAGATTGTTGTTGCTAAGCGCTATCGAGTCAATTTCTACTCACAAGTAACCCAAGGAGTGCCTGGTGGGTTTGAACTGCTGACTTTGTGATTAGCAGTCCAGTCCTATAGCACCACACCAGGACTCTTACTAAAAGAGATTATTATTGTTGCTAAGTTGGTTTCAACTCATAGCAACCCTATATAGGATTTCCAGTGAGTGGGTGGTGGATTTATACTGCCATCCTTTTAGTTTGCAGATTAGTATTTATTCCATGGCATCACACCATATGAAAGTAACACTATTTTGATTTTTCATATTTTTGATGAGCTTTAAAAAGATAACTAATGTTTTGATGTGTTTGGTAGTAGCCAGGTTTTAACACATGAAGGTGTGCCTGGAAAATCACGTGATTAGGGATTGAGAAGATCCTCAGGTTATATGCTAGTTAGTGGATTGCAACCTTGGTTTGCTGTAGAGTCTCTCAAGCTGCTTTGTTCACTTCAGAAGCCACTCGTCAGGTATGGCTGTTAAGTACTTGAAATGTGTTGAGATGTGCTATAAGTGAGAAAAATAGTGACATTCTGAAGAACCAGTGTTTGCTCAAGGACTCCTGGTAGCATAGTGGATAATGAGCTGTGCTGCTAACCACACGGTCAGCAGTTAGAATCTACCAGTCACTCTAAAAATCTACCAGTCACGGGAGAAAAATGAAGCTCTTTGTTCCAGTAAAGATTTATAGCCTCAGAAACCCTATACAGGGTCTCTATGAATCAAACCCGACTCAATGGCACATAACTGCCACCAGTATGGGTCAGATGTAACAGCAATTGTGAGGATAGTGCAGGACTGGGTAGTGTTTTCTTCTATTGTGCATAGAAATCACTTTGAATTGGAATCCACTTGACAGCATCTAACATCAACAACTAATATGGAAAAAAGAATGGTGACAGTTGAAACAGCAAGGTAAGAAGGATTGTGAATATAGCTATCTAATGTACTCTTGGTGTAGGGTTAGCACTGGACTGCTAAATTGCAAGGTCAGTGGTTCAGAGCTACCATTCACTCCTTGGAAACCCTGCCAGGGTCACTATGAGTCAGAACTGACTCAATGGCACTTAACCTAAAGTGGAGGATGGGTAGTATATAAATATTGTACCTAATTTTTACTAGATTCTTCAGTAGTCCATGAATAAAATGTACTGGGTAGAAAGTTTATTAAAATGATTTAAGATGTTTATAAGGTGGGAAAACAAACTATTAAGGGAAATTTAGACAGTTGGAAAGCAAGAATTTCTATACACTGTTAGACCCTAAATTATATTTCACTATTGAGAAGAAAATTAGATTTCATTTATGCTGGAGATTCCAAATAATTGGAACGTGTTAGGCGGTACTGGTCCATTAGAGCAGTTTCTCAGCTTCTGCACTGTTGACATTTTGGGCTGGATAATGCTTTGTTGTAGGAACTGCCTGTGCATTACAGCCCTCTGGCTGGTGTGGTGCTGTAGGAAAAGTACTGGACTATTAACCACAGGTAGGCGGTTCAAACCCACCAACTGCTCCTAAGAAACTATACAGGGTCACTATGAGTTGGAAACAACTCGATGGCACTTAATAATACCACCTATTACATAACAGTAGCACCCTCCCAGTTTTGACAATTAAAAATTTCTGCTGCAAAATTGCTGCGTAGTTAAACACCATTTCATTACAGTGTACCTATCTGTGGTGCCACTTAGAATTATTCTAGACAGGAATGGTGAGGGCCAGTTTTTTAAAGTACCTGGTACCATCACCAATTCCTGCAGGCTTCGTTTTCCCTCTGCTCTCTATCAAGTCAGGTGCCATTGAATTTGTTGCGTGCTATTGTTTTAAAATTTCTTACTGTGCATTCAGTGAAGGGTAACAATTTTACATTCAACAAACCGTACACTTCATTACATGGTTTCAATCCCCTCCATGAAACAGCAGTTGACAGCATTTTCCTCTATTGACTTTAATGATAGCATTCCTCCCTGTGTCTCCTGCTACTACCTTCATCTTTCCTCTGCCAACCTCCCTCTCGTTGTACATTGCCTGCCCTGTCACCCATGCTAACATGTGTCTACCCTCTAGCCTGTGACCAATTTTCCATCTCCCCTTACCCTGTAACCATTAAAGATGGTGTCTTTTAGCATGAAACTTTTTTTTTTTTTTAAAGTTCTTAAATTGGTCTCATATAATGTCTGTCCTTTTGTGATAGGCCATTTTCACTCAGCATAATAATGTCTTTCACATTCAGTCACATTGTTAGGTGTTTCACAGATTCATCATCATTCTTCAGTGTTTTGTATTACTCCATTGTGCATATTTATCTTGGTTTATTTAAACATTCTTCTGTTGATGGGCATTTAGGCTCTTTCCATCTTTTTGATACTGTCTCTTATAGACAGTATATTGAAGGATCAATCTGTTTTCTGTCCTGTTTTTTTATGTCTCTTGACTGGTACATTTAATCTGCTTACTTATATTCTGTGTAATTATCAATAGAGAATGAATTGATTATTTTTCTGTATGTTTTGTTTGTTGTGCTGCTGGATTTTCTGTGCTAAGTTCACTTTGTGGTTTTTTTTAAGGTTTTTATTGTGAATTGAGTGAAAGTTTACAGGGCACATCATCAGTTTCATATTCAACAGTTCATATAACTTGTTTCATTACATTGATTATAATCCCCTCCATATACCATCAGTTGAAAGTATTTTTTTGTCTACTTTAGCTTTTTAAAAAACACCAGGCATATATAATAATTTACATATCTAAAGGGCACATTCTGCAAGTCTGCTCCTGGCCACCAGTTCTTAGTCCTTCTGTTCTTATGGATGTTGATGACCTTGTGGATATTCTTTTATCTTTTGTTATGTTAATGTTTACTAAAGCTTCAGTGATTTTCCTCTTTTTTATTTTGATGGGCAGGTATACTATTTTCCTTTGAGGTTACCCTGTAATTTATTAATTGTTTATCTACTTAAAACAGTCTTTTATGTTGAAATTCACTTGACTTCCTTGCCATTTACAAGTTATATAGTTGTACTATTCCCTCTTTTTGCTTTGTAGTTGATTTCATTATACATTAATATCTTTGGTAGCCTATGTTCAGTCTTGTAGGTTTATTTTAAATACTTACTCTTTAGCTGGATTGAGTTCTGGGTGGTGATGTCATGTATGGTAATCTCAGGTGGTTGTCTGCTGCTGTTGTTTCTCAGTCCAAAGAACACCCTTTAGCATTTTTGGTAAAGTTTGATCTTTACAAATTCCTTTTGTTTCCATTTATCAGGAAGTGCCCTAATTTTGCCCTCATATTTGAGGGACAGCTTTGCTGGGTGTATGATTCTTGGTTGGCAGTTTTTTTCTTTCAGAGTTTTGTAGATGTCATCCCATTGCCTTCTTGCCTGCATGGTTTCTACTGAGAAATCAGAGCTTTGTCTTACTGGTTGGTTCTCCTTTAGATAACTTTTCTTTTTCCCGAGCTGCTCTCAGGATTCTTGCCTTGTCTTTGATTTTGGAAAGTTTGATTATGATATGTCTCTGTGATTTTCTTTTGGGTTCTATTCTGTTTGGAATTTGTACAGCTTCTAGTATGCTTATTTTCTCATCTTTCATGATGTTAGGGAAGTTTTCTTCCAACAACTTTTAGACAGTTTTTTTCTGTGCTTGTCTCTTCTTCTCTGGAATTCCAATCATCTGTAAATTGCGCCTTTTTGTTGTGGTGTTCCACAGAACTTCGTAGGCTTCTAATTTTTTCATTTCTTCTTTCTGATTGCTCTTCTAGTATATTGAGATTTATCTTCAAGCTCACTAATTTGGACTTCCATTGCTTTGCATCTACACCTTTGCCCTTGCAATGTATTGTCCGTTTCTGAAATCTTTGTATTAATCGTCTGAGTTTCTTATTGCAGGTTTTGTATTGTTTCAGAGTTTGCATTTGTTTTTGTGTTTTCCTGAATTCATCTAAAGTTTTTATTGTGTTCTTGCTTTTCTTGATCTTTCTATGGATCCTTT